AGGGTTCATGTCATGAACCTACGAAGAGCTGAGTTTTGAGTCAGCAAGAAATGAATTTCATGTATAGGAAGGAGTTTATTAAAATACCTTTTGCACAGTTTTACAGATTTTATTTTTACATAATGCATCTTTTTTATACTAGTCTAACAAACCACCCTATGTATTCCACGTGTAGTCACTATTTCCCACTGGGAGAGACTGGGAAATTTTAGCAAATATACACAATATTTTTATTTAAAAATCTGTCAACACTAAGTGAAACATGTTGAGCCTTGAAAAATAAGCACCATTTAAATGACTAAAGATAAAGAAGAATAGCATTTCCAAACAGAAGAAATCTGCTTTAGAAAAAGATGAGGGTAGAACTGAGCAAAGAACAATGAGATATGCAGTCTGATGGGACTACAGGTGGGTGTAGGGGAGCGTAAGAAAGACAAATAGGGACAGTGGGCCAATCACAGAGGACTGTGAAAGCTATGCACAAAATAATTGAAAATTATGCATTAGACAGTTTTGCCTGATGACAGTGAATGGTAAATGGTAAAATGGAAGAATACATAATTGATGGGAAGGGAGATCAAGTGGGAGGTAATGTCAGACCCAAACCTTACAAGTCAAAATAGATTTAAATTCAAAAACATGAATGGAGTCCTCAAAAAACTAAAAACAGACCTACCATATGATCCAGCAATCCTACGTCCTGGGTGTATCCAATGGGAACTCTAATTCAAAAAGACACATGCACCCCAATGTTCATCGCAGCACTGTTTACAATAGCCAAGACATGGAAACAACCTAAATGTCCATTGACAGATGACTAGATAAAGAATTTGTGGTATATTTATACAATGGAATACCATTCAGCCATAAAAAAGAAAAAATAGTGCCATTTGCAGCAACCTGGATGGACCTAGAGATTGTCATTCTTAGTACAGTAAGCCAGAAAGAAAGAAAAATACCATATATAACTCATATGTGGAATCTTTAAAAAAAAAAAAAGGACACTATGAACTCATCAACAAAACAAACAGACTCACAGACATAGTAAACGATCTTATGGTTACTTGGGAAAGGGGGTGGGATGGGATAAATTTGGGAATTTGAGATTTATAAATGTTAGCGACTATATAAAAATAGATTTAAAAAAAGTTTCTTCTGTATAGCACAGAGAACTACATTCAATATCTTATAATAACCTTTAATGAAAAAAATATGAAAATGAATCCATGTATGTATATGCATGACTGGAACATTGTGCTGTACACCAGAAATTGACAGATTGTAATTGACTGTACTTCAATTTAAAAAATAGATGAAAATAAATAAATACAATAAATAAAATCCCTTCCCAAAAAATAGACGTAAAAGAGTGTAAAATGCATCAAAGAAGAAATGCCAAGACTTGCTGATCTGTTGGATTTCGGAATTAGAATTTCCACCCAGTGTCCAAGAGGCAGGAAATTACAGAAGCACTGACGGAAGCCACATAGTTGGTTTGGAGAACTGATCTGAGAGGACGGTGAAAAATTCCTAGGAAATGATTTATAGGCAGTCGGGAGCAAAGCTCTAGAGTACAGAAGAAGAGACAGAATGAAAACTAACCTGAAAGTTTAAAGCCTGAGGAAGAATGCTCAACGATGAGTGAATGTGAGAATGATCAAGGAGCAGAGAGCCTTGACTAACAACTCCATCTAAGACGTGGGACTGGGGAAGGAAAGAGCAAAAATGTCAGAACCGTAGACGGAGGTGCAGGTAAGGGCAGGAGAAACAAAAGCAGAAGTAAATTTCAGGGAGGAATATACGATCAAGATTTTTTTTCATACCATTGACAATGTAGTTTGGGTTTAGCCAAAAGAAAACCACTAAGTTAAAACAGCAGAAGCAGAATTGACTTTGACTCAATTCTTACGTTATCTGTTTACCTTCAGGTTGAACAATACCTGAGATTAATTCATTAACCAGAAGAAAAAAACAACATTTTCAATGGAGAGTTTTTATATTACTCTATTACTTTCTGTTGAAAGGTCTTTAAGTTAAATGTTAAAATTCATGTTATAAAATTCCACTTAATGATATTTGAGTAGCAGTAATAATAAGCTGATAGCTTTCTGCCAGTAGCAATATTTCACTGAGCCTATTTTTGATTGAAACCTATAGTTTATATTAAAGAAATCACTCTTGGCAGCATCTTGTGCTGTTATTTATTTTCTCCATTTCTGTTTTCAAATCGAAAATGTCCTATTAAAGAGGCTTCAAAGCTAGACGAGGATATTTCCATTGCATACATTTATAATAGGCACATTTGTAACCTAATGATGTAAAAACCTATTTGAATTTCTCCCACTATTCAATCTATGGTTTTTCCTCTCTATATAATTTTTCCTTTGTTAAATTGAAGGGATAATGAACAAAACTTCTATGAAGATGACATGAGATAATGTATGAAAAGCTATAACACAGCTGCTGGCCCATAAGTGGGTCTTCAAAACAATTTTAGCATAATCCAAAATATATTTCATGAGATTTGGTAACATTGAAACATATTCTATAAATACTACAAAGTAATGATATTGTGAATGATGTTTCTTACTAAGCTTAACCAAATTTTAAATATTTAATTGCTCTACAAAATAGAGTAAAATTTTTCATGTGAAAATTCTATGCAAATAACTACATTTAATTTAAAATGGTGGTTTTTAATTAACTATTCAGTCCAGCTTTCATATGGGTACACAAAATGATAGCCTTAGGCTTTTTAAAAAATTCTATCTAAAGGGGCCAGTAAATTGTGAGGACATTTTTGCTAATTTCATATATGCAATATAGCATATTCCAAGTTAAAATTAAGCTATTCAAAAGATCAAGTGAAAGCAAATCTGCAAGACAGCAGCACGATAAGAAATCAAAGTCAAAAATAAAAGTTTTTCAGTGGTTGTAATTCACCTTCGAGTTTCACTATTTCAAATTTCTTCCTGTAACCCTTTGTTCCTCTCTAACTCCTTTAAATATTCCTGTGCTTTCACCGTCTATTTTCTTTTTGCGAAGTTGTCACATGATCTCTGTCTTGTCCTGTGTAATTTAAGAGACTTATGTAGCTTTCTGAGAGACTATCACACCGTCCCACCAGGAGAGTAATTGACGAGGCTCAAAATGAAGAGTCATTATTAATACTGTCTCGCTTGCAATGAATACATAGGCTCTCTCGTTCATGCATGACAAGGTTTTAGCTAGATCAAAAGAGGAAGAAGCTTTTAAATGAAGTATTACGAATGACATCATTGGTTACATAAGCTTACTTTCATTTACATGTTTGAAAAACAGGATTGCTTCAGGAGATTAGAGAACTGTAAGAAAACATGTCTTTGGGTGTGGGGTTATCTGTAACTTTCACACAAATATTTCTTGGACTGAAAACACGGCTTCAGAAGTTATGGTTTTCCGTGACCTTGGGTTAACATCTAGTAGTCTTCCATAAGCTTGAACCGTACACGGAGTAAGTGGTCTGCACTAGGGAGCTGTGCAGAGAGAGCCAGGTGAGTGGGTTTCTCAGGTTGGAAGGGAGGTTAATCTTTAAGTGTTTTTGCTTTATCAGAGTACTCCTGACTTGTGTTCAGCCATCATTGACACTAATGATGTTTATGGAGCTAGAAGAAAGCAGCACTTTTTCTTCCCATTTCTGTGCCCAATGTCTGTTTTGATTACAGCCGGCCAATCTACTTCTTGGGATTAATCTCAATAGTTGAATAATTACTTTCTAGGCAAAGTGAAATCCTCCGTGAGTCCATAAGACCTTTTTTTTTTTTTTAATAAGCACATGTCAGGGATGCCAAATAAGAAAATAGGTTTACAAGTTGTCCAGCTACTAAAAGTAATGGGAAAAAGCGTTTGAATAGATTTATCTATCTATACGTGCTTTATTAAACAGACCCCGTAAATTTGAAGTCTCTGCTCTTATCTAAAACATTTTCTCTTCCTCCTCTCAATTTCTTAGCATATCCAAATTCCTCTCACTGTATTCATCACTTTCTTTTTATGTATTTATTGATGTGCATAATAACCAACATGTGCTCTGAGATGTATCACTCAACACTTAGCCTTATGCCCTGAATATAAAATACAGCTAATATTAATTGAATTCTTGCTATGTGTTGGATGCCATTCTAAAATTTTTAGTATATTAACTCAATCTTGGAAAGAGATGAAATGAGTACCATGACGATCATCACTTTACAAGAGAAGGAAACAGAAATCCAGCACAGGTAGACAATCTGACTGGTCACCCAGACTGTAAGTGGCCAAGCCTGCATCTATGCCTGGTTTTGTAACCACTGCCCTCACTGCCCTGAGTGGTTAAATCTCCCCACGATCGATTTTCAGAGCACCAAGTTCTTCCGAACCTTCACTCCTGTTATGATTTTACTTTTGTTTTCCTGTTTATTTGATTAATGTCTACCCCTTCCACTATGCCCAGAACATATTAATAGAACCTGCAGTTTTTGACAGATGAGTAAGAGCAGCTAGTATTTATTAAGTTTTTGCCGTGTGCCCAGCACTGCATCGTCTTTTCATCTTCAGAAAGACTGAGGTACCTACCAATTTACCTCCACTTTAGAGATGAGTATACCGGAGCAGAGGGAGGTTAGGCAACTTGCCAGAGGTCACACAGCTAGGAAGAGGCAGGACCAGGACTGAAACTCAAAAGCCAAATTTGAGAGGTACACTTGGAAGAAATGAAGGAATGGATTAGTGAAAATCTGGCTTGAAGGGGGCAAGGAAACCAAAAGAGAGGAGATGACATTTGATACACCTGGAAGGGCGAGGTGGAAAAGATGGAAACACTCCAGGCAGAGGAAACAACATGTATAAAATAACACAGAACAGTGTGCCTGGAGCACAATAAATACGAATGAAGGACTGAATAGCTTCATAGCCCATGAATGGAGGGGTTTGTGTATGTAAATGTTTTATCACTAACAGTCTTGCACATTTTTTTCTTTCAGTGCCACCATGGGCCTTAATTGCCATCGCCATAGTCGCCGTCCTTTTAGTCCTGACCTGCTGCTTTTGTATCTGTAAGAAATGCTTGTTCAAAAAGAAAAACAAGAAGAAGGGAAAGGAAAAGGGAGGGAAGAACGCCATTAACATGAAAGATGTCAAAGACTTGGGGAAGACCATGAAAGATCAGGTATCGTGTTCATTCCATGTTTCTTCTTCAATTATTTTACTGAAAATTTGAAAATAGATTATTTTATGCCAGATCAGTACCGAAATAAACAATATCTGGACATGTGTCATTGTTGCAGGAATGCTTTGCAATCCTTTCAGTCATGAGTCAACCTCCCAAATGACAACGGAAATGTGTAGTTGGGTTTTCTGGTCTCATCCATGACCATCAGGCCATCTTGGCAGGTTCACCATATTGGAATGATACCGGAATATTCTTATTACATCTGTTTAGCCTGTCTTAGTAGTGTTTAGATCTAGAGAAACAGAATAAGGAGTATTTGAGTGTTCTCCCTCTTGGGCAGAAAGAACATCTTTCTAACACCATCACTGATCATAATCACTGTTAAATGAGTCTTATAGCTGTTTATCATGACTGATGGAAGTTACCATTCCTATATAACCAACCAGCTCCATTACTAGTGCTTAGGAGTAGAGAGGTATAGAAGGGAAGGAAGTCAAATCCGAGCTGGTTCTAGAGAACAGAGTAGAATTGCAAGGCAAAATTGTCATTGTTCACTTAGGGACACTTAGAACCATAATGCAAACTATAAAATCCAACCGGCTGAGTTACTGCCCCAAGCCCAAGGAAGCTATTTGGATGTCCTTTATGCGGTGGTCTATTTTTCCTAAATGAACTGGGTGATTTGGTTCAGAATAAAGTCTCCTATTAATAAGTATAATAATTAAAAGTCTTCCTCTTTTGGAATCATATCATATTGGAAACATCTAAAGAACACTTATTTCATATAAAAATGTAAATGCAGAGATTTCAGAGAAAGAACATTTTCAATTATCAATGTTTCCCTTCAATTATCAATGCTGTTCCCAAACAGCAACCCATAGAGCGCTATTCCCTAGTAAACGTGTTAAGCACCGTGACTAAAGGGCAATGTGTAAGTGCGAGTCCCTGACGGCTAAGTACGTAGGCAGTTTCACGAATTCTTCATGTAATATTACTGTTGGCTGAACTCTTAACTACGTGAGTCTCCTTAAGAACAGTCTAGGTAAGGAAGGCATTTTTAGTACATCTGCATAGTCACCCACACACACAGGACGCTAATCCCTCTCCCCAGCTTGAGTTTTAAACACTTTCCTCAAAGACCCTGTCATGACGATTGACGAGAATTTCACACAGGCTCATTTTTCGCTTGAACTTTTGCTTGGTTTCAGAGCTATAGGACAGTGCCTGCCCTCAGAGAGTTTTGTCCTGAGCTCAGAGTAGCAAGGGTTATGCTTTTTTCAGAGTTTCTAATCACAGCCACAGAAGCCCAGGTACCAGTGTTCAACCATAGATGTCTAATAAGGATTTTGGTTAATTTGTTACGTAGATTCTGAAGTTTTAAATCATGCCTTGCTTCATTTAATCATTTTTCATAACAAGCAGAACTTGACACAGATTTCTTTAAACAACGTTATTTGGGAGATTAAGTGTAGAAACAATCTCCTAGATGGACTTAGACGGACTGAATAATTTGTATGTGAGTTTCAGCTATGTCTATGACACCAACTGAGAATATAATACTGTCATTTTCATAACTGCAATAACATTTAGATGGGGTTTTCATGTATGCTAGAATTAACAATTGAAAGCACTGAATTATCTTACATGATTACTACAGCATTTCTTCCTAGGACAAGAAATTCGTATTTTTCTTTGTGGAATTTGTTCTGTATGATGTAAGACTGTAATTTATAGCAAAGTAGTGGTGTTATGACCCCTGTTTTGACCTGGATAAATGACCGAGATCTCAATACTAGTAAATACAGAGAATTGACAGTGGTTAATTTTTCATTGATCACCAACTCCTTTGGATGGGAGGGGAAGAGAAAATGGGTCAAATAAGGAAATACTCTGAGGTCAGTGATCATTTATACTCATCTACTGTTACAATGTAGCATTTAAGATTTCAACAAGTCAAAAAAGGTGTTTTTTAAATCCTTAAGTAGATCACTTTGTGTAGGATTTTATGGGTCTTATTTTAACTAACAATTAAATGTACAGAATAAAATATAATTTGGACGAGTAAAAGTAGACCCATTGATCAGTGGTTGTCTAACAATAACTTATGCTACTTTTTAAGGAGACAAAAGTAGCTGATAGAGTTCTACTGTTTTATGAAGAGAAAGAGTAAAGAAGTAAAACAGGATGTTCAGATTTTAAGATGCTATGTCACATGGGAATCATCTGATCATCCAAGTTCAAAACAGCATCAACACACAGTAAAATTATTCTTTAATTATGTTTTCAAACTATTTAGACAGGATGCTGATGTGAACACGTGGAAGACAGTAAAGACAATCTACATCTCTCGTTCAGAAACAGGACAGACGTAAGAGGCATTTTAGATATGGTTTCTTAAGACACAGAGGCTCTAAGGGAAATCACTAAGTTTTTACCATTCAGTTCATACAAAAACTCACAGAAATTCACATCTCAGTGTTTACGGCTGTGTCTCTATGGGAAGATTTTATCACCAACCAAGGAAGCTTTTTCAGTATTCTACAATGACAATAAAATAGTAACCATAGGTAGTATATTGACACAGCAAAGGGTATCTATTTAAGGTTTTGATTTTTTTTTTTAATGGCTTAAAGCTTCAAAATACTGAAAATTGAGAGGGGCACGATCAACTGGCGAATCAGAGGTCTGGAAAGGTCATTTCTCCATGGTTTTTACTAATGTGTGTGGATATTTAAATTTTTATTTCTTCCTTCTATGTCCTCCTTATCTGTGTTGTGTCTCATGACTGTTCTGGACTGTCCCTTGTGGTAGGTTTCCTCTGCTATTCAGACCCCCAAGTCAATGCTCAGATACATCTAGTGGCCTGGCAACTGGCGCTCCACAGCTGAGGGTGTACCATTCTGACACACATCAAGAGGCTGAACTAAATTGATTTTTTTTTAAGATAAAGGTTTTCTGTTTTAAGCATCACTGATTAAATAGAACACTATTAGAAAGCTCAAGTTTCAATTGATGGGCACAGAAGAAAATTTCGTGTCTTGGGCAGTGTGCTTTTATCAATTCCAGATCTGAACAATGTAACTTAGAATGAGCAAAGGCTCCTTCTGATGGTGCATCCGGGAAGAGCCAAGCACCTCTGGAATGTCAAATCAAGTCAGACATCCATGCCCTAAATTTTTGAAATTTAAAACCAGGTCTAATATTCCCAACACAGCTTTTTCTACTCCAATTTATCAAACTCTCAGAACTGCTGGGTTTACATGCGTTTTGTTCCCGGGGTGGGAGGCGAGTATGGAGGGAGAGACTATTGCTTTCAAGATATTATAATAACTACTGATTTAATAGGTCTGAATTTGATGTAATGGCACAGAATACCTCTTGCTCAAGCTCAACCTTTGGGATAAGAATAGACTTAATCAGTTCAGTGATGAACAGTGGCACTGAGAAATTATCAAATTGAGCCCTATTTCATGCAGAATAATTACTGAAATGGCCCTGCACCTTTTATGAGAGCCCAAACCACTTAGGGAGGAGGAGATTTCATATCTCAGCTCTTTCAAATTGCACGAAGCTGAAATAAGATATGTAAACTGTTAGCTCTGAAAGAACTTGTGAAGCAGTATTTTAATCCATGAAATTTTGTATGATGATGATGGAGAAATGTGCAGATTTTTCAGACAGAAACATGCATTAAATAGTTTGCTACTTAAAAAAAAAATTAATATCTTACAGAGAGGCAAATGTCCCAAGTCGCAATTTTCCCAACACACCTTTTCAGACAGTAATAAGGACTTAGACACACAGCTGAGGTTTTGAAATGGCAATGTGGATTCACTGCCTGAGTCCTCCAATTATACCCAGTCTTCTTTTCTTGTCACTTTACTATCATGCTTCCATTAGCAACACCCCCCCAGGTTACAAGATTGATATACATTTTTAAATAATTGTGTTGTTTCCTGCCTTTGGCTATCAGTAAATCTACATTTTACCATTTAGGGAAACATCCAAGTATAAACTTTCCCAATTAACTGCTGTATAGCTAACCAGATCTGAAAAGGTTTCTCCACAGATGGTGATTTTCAATTTTCCAAAGTCACTGTAGGCTCCTGAAAGTTGTCAAGAAGCACAAAATGGGAGGCACTTCTGACTTCGGCTCAACTCTGTTTATATGACCTTCCCACCCAAAGTTCTAATAAGACGGTACCAAGTCTGTTTTTTCAGGATCAAGTTAGCCGGGTAGAGACCAATTGGCAAGTCTTGTCAGTGCAGAGACTGAGCGTGCCATTTTGAAGTACCCCGAGGGTCTCTGTTTAAGTGGCTCAGTGAATAGAAAAGCTTGCTCTGAGCAGAGAAAAAAGACCACGTAATCTGGGAGGTAGAGGGGTGCTAGGTGGTAGAGCCATAGTCTGATGGAGCCTTTCTGTCGCCTGGTTTTACTGCTTGCATTTGAGTCCTACAAGAGTTCTCAGATTTAATTTGATCACTGCCAAGAGTTCAGATTCCTTTACTTTGTCAGAGAGACATAACAGTCTAGCACTCATTATGTCTTAGCTTCATTTTTGTGAGATCTACTGTAACACACATACAGGAAAGGCAATAGTAAAAAAAAAAAAAAAAAAAAAAAGGCAATAACCAAAACCTAGGAGAATATTTGCTGTATGTAACAACAGAAAGGTTGAGACCACTAAAATACAAAAAGTCTTTAAATCAGTAAGAGGCAAACAACCCAAGAGAAAAATTAGCCAAGGATATATACAGGCAGTCCCCAGAAGAAACAATACAAATGGTTAACATAAAGCTTTTTAAATTTTTCAACCTCATTAGTGGTCAGGAAAATGTAACATTTTGTCATTTTTAATTCTGAATAATAACTACATAGAGATTTCTAATCCTTTTCTTCTAATTCTGTAAAGCAGTAAGAATGTTCACTCCTAGAAACAAAACTTCTAATATTTATAATCTTTATAACCTTTGATTATTTGAGTAAAATTTTTGCACTGAATGGAAAAACATTTTGATTTTTAAAAAAAGAGGAACTTGGAATGAAATTTTTATGAAATAATGACCTTTCTAGTATTTCAATGTCTACTACACTTGAGTTTTAGGTTTTAAAAAAATATTTAATTGGTTTGGTCTCAAACTGAGTTTTCAGAGTCCAGGGTCGTGACTTTTGCTTTTTAAGGCAAAACTAATTTTTATACAAGTAAAATTGCCAATGTAACTCCTTTTGTCTTTTGATATCAAATAGATCCATAAATCAGTTTAATTCAGCCTAGCTTTCTGTGGAGCTGTTTTAAAAATAACACAGTCAACTTAAACTGGAAGTGGTAGATTTTTCTCTAATGCGCATTTGCTGATGGCATGTTTTCTTTTTTCGTCTTTTTTCATGGCCATTGTAAACGTATATGCAAAACCTAGGAAATTACAATTTTCTGAGAATCACTTACTCAACTATCTTTTTCATAGGAAACGAGGCAAGAAAAGGCCACGCATTTCATATAAATTCCTCCACCGCATGTAACAAGGATGTTCTACATGACGCTTAGCTTAGATCTCTTTGGACTTCATGAATGTGAAAACCGGCCTGGTTAATAGCATGTTTCTCATGCCTCTGAAAGAAGCAGTTTTATCAGAGCCAGAGATAACACTGGGTTGACATTTTCTTTGCAACGACTTTACATGTTTTGCTTGCAGTCTTTGGAGGGGCTTTTTCCATTGCTTCCATGTTGCTTGCTGATTGGGGGAAAAAATTCCGTGCACAAATGGAATTTAAAAAGATACATAAGCAGCAGATGTGAATGTGTGTCAGACAAATGGAGATTTCCAGCATCTCAGTGCTTGCTTCTAACAGCTTTCCAAGTATGACCACAGGCCCAGTTTAATTGGGGTTTTCATGAAAATTCACTGGAATTTACACATAATCCGTTTCCCTACTCATAGGCCCTGAAGGATGACGATGCTGAAACCGGACTGACTGACGGAGAAGAAAAAGAAGAACCCAAAGAAGAGGAGAAATTGGGAAAACTTCAGTATTCACTGGATTATGATTTCCAAAATAACCAGGTCTGAGGGGGAAAATGTCTTCTCTTTCCATTCTGTTTTCTGAAATTACCAACTAGAAATTGAAACAAGATACTTCTTAAAACATTTTGTTTGCTACGAGGGGAAAATGCAATTATCAAAGCTATTGATGAAATAATTTCTAAGCACAGGCAATCCCCTACTTGCTAATTTAACTTCTGGTAGTTAGGATTCACAGCGTTCAGCCTATTACATCTACTCATGGCACTCACAGAAGGCAGGTGGAATACAAATTAACTTAAGCAGTCAGTTGAACTCCGAGAGCTCCCAGCCACTGATCCCGCAGCCGGAGCTCGAACAATCGTCCTTGGAATTCATGGATTTAGATCCTAACAGGGCACGGGGCCTTTGAGTTAGACCACCATTTAAGCCAAAGTTTTGAAACAAAATTTAACAGTTTGATAGGGAATCAAAGATGAAAAAAATTGACTGTCCTCCATGGATTTCAAAGGCAGGAATATCTTATGAACGTCATGGTACTGGGTACAACTCCTGTCACAAATGAGGTAATGGTTCTAGAGAAGCAAAAAGACCACCAGCTTGATTTCCTAGTGCCTTGTATGCTACCCCGAAAGTGATATGGTACTAGCGGTGGTATCAAAACAGGCATTCCTGCTGTAATTTCTCAAAAAGCTGCCAAGTGCCACCCGGATGAATGGTAATATTAGCTGCCTTTTATTAACTGCCTGTTACAGAGGTAGCTCAAAGATAAATGTTAAAAAGTCTCTCTACCTAAAAAGACCTTCTAGGCTCTGTGACATTGATGAAGATGTCCCTTTACCTTCTGAATTGCTAAAGAAATTTAAAAGCTAGATAAGAATTAGCTGACTTAGAGATCAGGCTCTTAATGTCTTTAGGACACAGTTCTTTACTGACCAGGGGAGCATTAAATCTCTCCAGTTTGTTTTGCATCACTCATCTTTTTGGGCCGGGAAGAACTTCGATACGTGGAAATACAGTTACTACTAATGTGGCGTGTGTTAATTACATCCAGTTTGATGAGGAATAAGCAATAAATAAAGTGAACACCAATGCTCAGCTTTGGGGACTCATGTCCAAAGTCGGTAATACTGTGAGCTCTAAGCAACTGCAGAAATTCTGGGCTTTATTTAGGAACTGACAGCTCATATAAAGTCTTCACGTTTTGAAGCGTCCAGAGGGTTCCTCACAAAGAACGTACTGATGTGCACTGTCATATTATAAATAATTGTATTTAATCAGCTTCATTGCAGCTCTGGCTAGTTATTTTATAATACCTTCTAGAAAGCTGAGTCATGGTTACAGATACAGGCTTATAGGTACGGATTTATATACATTTATAGGTGTATCATTTCTGGCTAATTAAATAGGGCATTTGAGGTCATTTTTATCACTTCTGCCGAACTTTGATCAGGAGTTAGGTGAGAGTAAAACTTCCTAGTATTTATATATTCTAGGGCAAGTCAAGGTCAACTTACATTCTCTTCACGCATAACGTGTTTTCCAGAAATTTAACCTGCCTTCCTATATGAATCCAGCATCTTTCTACTAATTTATTCTATTTTCATATTTCCCAGTAGAAATCTAGTGGTAGCTCATCCTGATTAGTCATAATTTCCAACTTCTCTGATGGCTTTGAGTACTGTATCATTTTATAAAGCAGCATTTTTAAGAAAATAGCAGTGAGTTTTTTTACTCAAATATAATGTGAATGTATTTACTATTATTCCCTTTCTAGCGAACATCAAATTTTAAAAGATATTTCATTCTGAGAATCTAGAATATTCTACCTGATAAAAGATTTTTTTAATATTAAGCATTTATTTTTCCAAATGTTCTAAACTAATCTGATTTATGACTCCTATGAGTCATGGCAGCTAAAGTTTGAGGGATTTTGTAGATAAAGCTGTAATCAGATATACACATTTGCTTACCAAAACCAAAAGACAACCCTAGAAGTACTGTAAGAAGCTTCCATGGTGGAGAGGAATGTGATCCTGATCTCTCGAGCAGAAGTCAGAGAGGGGTTAGAAGAAGTAATTCCACCTCTTGTCAACAGAACACCCAAAAAGTATAGATGATCCAGTTTGAAAGAGTTTAGGCTTTACTGCTAGTGCTTTCCCCACCCCAGACAAAAAGTATTGCAAAACATGAGAAGGAAGGAATGTAATCTTGCTTACTCACATTGCTATCCACAGGCAAATTCCCAGTGCCAACTTGGCAGACCAGGAGACACACTGTTTGCTTTACTGATCATGTCTATCATCTGACGTCTATTTTCACTCTTCTTGGACCATTTGCTTACGTTCTGTGTATCTATAATCCAGCACTCTTATTGCTACTGTGTATGATAAAGTCACAAAGATATTGAAGCATTAAAATGGAAACCGTAATCATCAAGGGTATTGGTCTAGGTTAAAAATTGAGCCAACTAGCACAAACGCACTTATGAACGTGGTGGGTCAGTTTCGTAGAAAATGGATGTGACTTTTTTTTTTAAGGAGGTGAGTTGCTTTTCCACTCTGCTGGCTGAAAAGTCGCATACTCAAAACTACAGACCCCTGATGGGAAAAGCTATGATCTGACTGCATTTACTGGACAGCCTACACCTTGCGCAACAATAAGAGAGTCTACTTTTGTTTCCCCTCTGGATCTAAACCGCTCTGTTCATGCAGAATGTCTGATGGCAGGGTATCAGAATAGTCCTCTCACACCTTCTGTTTTCTTTTTTGCAAAAATATTAACAGCGCCAGTCAACACTCACACTCATAAAAAGAAATAGGAATGTATCACTGAGAAAAATAAACTTGAAGAAATGCAGAGATTTCTCCTGTATTTAAAAAAGAAATTAGAAACTTAGTCACTTAGCATTAAAACCTGTCATCTTCCCTTCCTTTATATGAAGCTAAAATTATATTTCTTTGACCTCATGCCCTATATTTAAATACAGAAAGTATAATAATTATTTTACTGTAAGTTAAAACAAAACATAGCCAGCACACAAGTAAAGGTCGAATATGATAGAAACTTGAAGATCTTATTTGTATCTTCTCAAAATGCAATCCAATTTCTAAGAAATTTCTATTTAGCTGGTCTGAGGCTTTGGTTCAAAATAAAAATTTCCTACTTTATAATTTCAGACTAGTGATTGTTTAACAATGTATTTTTCCACTTACAAATCATACTGTCATAAGAAAAATAATACACAAGGGCTTTTAGCAACTGCAAAGTTATTTGATTGCAGCCCTTTTGCAAAGATGAATTCCATATTTAACTGCAATCAGCAACCTTTTAAAAGCCTCTTTTGTGTTTCAAACCAGGCTTCCCAGAGCCTGCATGTCATAATTGGGTTTCTGAATTCTCTATAGCTCACTTCATTTGCCTTCTGTGTTCAGACTCACAGGAGAATAATCATTTATTAAAAGCAAAGAAGTGGGAGAAATCACAATGTGCGGCACTGTGAGCAAATCAGTCTTTTCCAAAACGTCCACCAATGTTGGTCTTTGCTCTCTTCTGACTCTCATTTCAGCTGCTGGTAGGAATCATCCAAGCCGCCGAGCTGCCCGCCTTAGACATGGGGGGCACCTCCGATCCCTATGTCAAAGTGTTTCTGCTGCCTGATAAGAAGAAGAAATTTGAGACAAAAGTCCACCGAAAGACCCTTAATCCTGTCTTCAACGAGCAATTTACTTTCAAGGTATTTTTTTTCTGTCCTTACTAATAAACTTTTCTTTCATTATTTTCGATAACAGACTGATCTCATCCTGACAGATACATAGATGTCCCCATGACCACTTGTTCAGAGACTCACAGATAAGAATTTCAAACATTCTCCATGAATTATCTTCAGTTCAGTGAGGATTCTATAGTGTATTTAGATTTGGTCCAATTAAGACTCAGCTCAAGCCATTTCAGAATAGAACGTGGACCAGAATGTGACCAGGACATCACTCACATCCAAAAAGTCAGGTCAGCTTCAAGTG